ATCCTCTCCGTGTCTCTTGGGTGCAGTTATTTTAACAGCGAGGAGCCTGTTTCCATGAGGCTGCGTTTCTGCAGTCAGGGATGAGTGAGGCATCGCTGCTATGACTGAAGCACTTGCTCATTGCCATTGCAGGTGCTGGGGAGGTGTCAGTGCTGTCTGGAACAGCTCATTGCTGTGTCCACAGAGATTCAGGCCCTCATTTCTGGCTCTTTCAGTGACTGATCTCTTTACACTATAGAGCTTTGGCTGTTGCTTCCCCTTTTGGTAGAGAACAGTCATACTGTTCTTATTTGTTTCTCACTGGCAACTCTTCTTTCTCTTCTTCCTGCTGCATGCCATGTGTGCCAGGCAGCCAATTCATGTCACTGATACCTTTTCCTACGTTCAGGTCCAGAATCCATCACAAACATGAAGCCATCACAAATGTGAATCCATCACAACCCCATCACAAATGTGAAGCCATCACAAATGTGATGGTTTCACATCCCACTCCCCCAAGTTCAGAGGGGGTTTTTGGTCTGAGATAGAGCATCCTTTTTCCAGTGGGGCTGCAATGGGAGCTGAGTCTTCCTGCAGCCCAAGCAGGCAGGAGTCCCAGTCACCCGCAGGGAGTTGCAGGCTGTCATTATCACTCAGCCGGATCATTTTGGGTGAGCAGGCACCACAATTTGCTGTTCTTTTTTAGGTTTTGTGCAGACACAACAGGAAGTGAAGCTGGGGCTGTGAGACAGTAGCAGGGTCAGGATGAGCTGCTTGGGGCCCCTGGGTGCATTTGCATGGGTGCCATCCCTTCAATTCTCTTGGCTGGAGACCACTGAATCTCCAGGTTTTAACCCTCTCCAGTGTTTCATATTGGAGACCACACGTGGAACATTTGACTCCTTATGGCTGCAGGGTCCAGCCTGGAAAATGCCTGAAAGCTCCATCCTCCAGCCCCAAAGGAATTGGGATTCCTCCTGCTGCATCTCAGCCAGACTCCCACAGAGCTGGGGTTTCCAAACCTCTTCCGAGTTGGCACTTGAGTCAGGGCATGAAGATGTTCTGCATGTGAAACACTTCCCATCCCTCTCTGCTGGCCTGTTCCCAAGGGACATCCTGGCTCAGCACACACATCTATGGGGAGCAAGTCCTGGGATCGTCTGATTGCCCCACAGCCCTTGTCATCAGCTCTGGGTCTGCCTTGGTCCCAGGAGAGCAGAGCTGTCAGTGCTGCAGGTGAGGGGTACCAGGTGCTATGGGTAGTGGTATTGACGTCTTTTTGCTTCCATGGCAAATACCTGATATGTTTCAGGTCTTCATTTGCCCTTTTATATGACTGGCAGCTGATAGCACAGAACTGATGCATCTGGGACCTCCTGCCACCTCCAGCAGCAAAGTAGCAGAAACTGCTGAATTCCAACATTGTGACATTAAACTATTGAATTTCCACTCCCCTGGTCCAGGAAAAAGCTTGAGTTTCCCTGTTTGGTGTCTGTCTCTCCCTGCCATGGCTGCCTTTCTCACTGCTTTGGCCATCGTCAGTTCTATTTCTATATCAGCTCATTACTCCAAAGTAAAACATTGGAGATGGTTTACTGGAAGTCTGCCTTCTGCCCAGCATTTCCCATGTGAACACCGTCTGCTTTCCAGTTGCTTGCATCCCTTAGAGTTCGCCTTTTAAACCTCATCTCCTCTGCCTGAAGTACCTATTTCCTGCGGTCTGCTGTATCCCATCCATTATATCTGGGTGAGCATCTACCACATGAGCTTGATCTATGGGAATGGCTTATTTTGCTCACAGATGAGGTTGCCACGGGTATGAGCTGCGCTTTACCAAGGCCGTGTTGATTTTATCCCCCTGTCCACTTGCACCCACGTCTCCTTGTTTTCTTTCCTCCACACTGTTTTCCAAAGCCGTGGTAATGCTGATGTCAGCCTGGCAGGCTTGTTGCTGCCTGAGCCCTGTCTCCAAGCCAAGCTCTTCACTTCAGGCACTGGATTTGCTGTCGTGGTTGCAGAGAACCTCCCTCCGTAACAAAGAGTCTCTGCAGCCAAACCAGAAAATCCTTTCTCTGGTGCTTCCAGAAGGCTGGAATGGGCATGATCCAGGCTTTCCCTCACCTCACACGTCTGGCTGTCTTTGCAATCAGCCAGTACACTAAAAGGTTCACTTTAGCCTTTTCCAAAGAGAGCTGGTGAGTCGCTGAAACACAGCTCCTCCTGCGGTGTCGGTGTCACCCCACTGCAGAATGGCTTTGGGATTGATGGGGCAGGTCTGTGCTATAGGGGGAAAGGAGGGAGGGAGCACGTTACCTTGTTAAGCTCTGACGGAAAGGCTGGAAGCACTTGTAGCACAGGAGGCTCTAAAATGGGCCTGAGCTCATCAATGTCGCTGCCTTAGCATGGGGGTTTTTGGTCACTTGCTCTGCACCATCCTTATTTCCTTACCTCATCCTTCGAGGACACAAAGGACAAAGGGGATATTTCCTTTTTCAAAACATTTTGGATTTGGGTCATGGACAGACACCGTCTTAGTACTCGTGATCCGAGTGGTGATCCAGCAATTGCTAAGGGCTGATGTTTTCTCCTCCTCGGAAACTCGATATATCTTGGCTAAGCGATATCTTTGCTTTCGGATATAATTGTGGCAATGCTCAATTTCCGTGGATTACCACTGCATGTGGTGGAATCTGGGAACCTCAGCAACAAGCTGTAAAGTCCGGAGGAAAGCCAGGATGCAAATATCTTGGCAGCTCCCCCGTGATGGGAGATCCTGCTGTACTCAGGGCAGTGGTGCCAAAACACAGCACCAACCATTAATTTACCCAGATGATAACTCCCTCCTCAACACTGCCATGTCCTTCAGTATTCCTTGGCCTTCCCAACCTTCTTGGAGTCCCAGGAGCATCCCAGGGGTGGTTAAGCTAGTGGCAGGGGGAATGGGGTGAGTGACTTGCTTTCAGAATGAATGAGTGGAAGAAGAGGGATGTGTAGGTGCCATTGCCCATCTGCACCATCAGCTGCTTTGGGGATGCTCTGTGCACAGGCAGCCTATCTCCAGTCTCCATTCAAGCACACATCCCTGGCTGTAGGTATCCATAGGTATCTGACCCCTGCAGAGGATGGATACTTTGGTCCCAGGGGCGCACGCATCGGCTGCTGCCCTCCACATGCTGCTCACGGATGCGTCTGCTGCATCCGTCTGTGCCACAGCGTTTAACACTGTCTCCAAAGCTCATCCTTGCACCTGGTTTTCTCCTTGGGATGCTGGGTACAGCGTGAGCAGACAGTTTCTGAGGAGGGGGGAGGTTTCCCTGCAGTTGGAGCCTATGAAAACCTGCTTTTGGGCCAGAAGGGTTTGGCGCACGCCTGCGGCAGGGATGGTGTCATCGCTTTGGATGACAGATGCAGTGAGTATGGAGCATTGGTGTCCTCCCCTGCCAGCTCCGGCTCCTCCAGCCACACAGGAGCATCCTGGTGGTGTGGTTTTTGCCTTATTTGCTTTCTCTTCCCCTTTTTCCTCCTGGAAACCTGTAACAGTGTGAGCACAAAGGGATCCCAAGGGGGTTGCTGCTATCTGGAGAAGGTGTCTTATTCCCTGCCAGCTCTTGCGCTGGAGAAAGGCTGGAGGAGATCCATCTTACAGCGTTTCTGCTGGGGCTGTTGGCAGGAGGCATGTGGAGTGCAGCAGGCTTCAGCCAGGCTTGTTCTTCTGCCTCAGGAGCACTGAAAGGTGCAGCCCAGAGCAATCAGAGCATGGATCTGACCTGCCCAACCTCTGCTCGCTCCGTTCCTTAACAGTAGATGTGCTTTTTGTTCATCCTAAGGAGCCTCCAGCCAAGCCAGCCCGCTCCATCCCTGCCATAGAATGGTTTGTGTTGGAAGGGACCTTGAAGCTCATCCAGTTCCAGCCCCTGCCACGGGCAGGGACACCTTCCACTAGAGCAGCTTGCTCCAAGCCCCTGTGTCCAACCTGGCCTTGAACACAGCCACAGCTTCTCTGAGCACCCTATGCTAGCGCCTCACCACCCTCATAGGGAAGAGCTTCTGCCTTTTATCTAACCTGAACTTCCCCTGTTTAAGTTTAAACCCATTTCCCCTTGTCCTATCGACCTGTCCATGTCCTATACCCTTGTCCATGACCTGACTCTGCACCAGACGCTGAAGCCTTTCCTGGGATGGCATTTCCCTGCATCCCAGTGCCGCACCGGCAAGAGCAATTTGCATTTCTAGCAGCTTCAGGTCAGTGTGAACCAGCCAGGGTTTATTATGTCCTTCTTAAGAAGGGTTCTGCGTGATGCACGTGTTAATCTATAAACCAAATGCCTCCACTTTGCTTTACTAAATATAGGAGAAGCGTCTGCTGTGCTGCAGGTCTTGCAGACAGCGGGGTCACGCTCTTAAACTAAACAGGAGTTTATCAGCCCCAACAAGGAATGGGACTCGGGTTCAGTGCTCTCTGCTTGCAGACTGGAGCTGCAGTGAACTGAGTTTTCAAGGTCCATCTCATTCCCTGTCATTTGCAGAGGGCTCAGCCTGGAAGCGTGAAACAGGGCACCTCTGGGACGAGTATCTTGCGTACGTTGGGTCTTGCGCTTATCTTTCGTTAGCACAGATGCTGTTTCACCCTCCTGTGGGGTAACTGATACAGGGGATTGAGGAAGAACCCGAACCTTCGTGTTGAGTCACATCTCGATGAGTGCAGTGCTGCAGGAAGTGTCATTTCCCACAAGCACACAAGCGTACGGGCACTGCTGATGAAATCTGTTGAGGTCAGGCCATCATTTCCCCCTAATTACAGCTCCAGAAATGAAGGATGTTTAGCTTAGACCCTGGTGACTTTGTGCTTTTGGAGCAGTTTTCCCTTAAAGCAAAATACAACACATGAAGATGGGATTTGGATTTTTCCTTGTAGTTATTTAGGTTCAAAAGATGCCATTTGGGGCTTGTAGAACAAATGAGCTTCTGTCTGGTGGTGGCCAATGAACTAAAAGATCTGATTTTTCTCTCTCCTTTTCCAGCAGAAGATGGGGTTATGGGATCAACCTGGCAGGGTAAAGCTGGTCGCAGCCCACTCCAGGCCCTCTATGAGAGTGACCAGGTAAGGGAGATGATGGGTGAAGAGGGAGTGAAGTGCTGGGAGCTGATGCTTTCTTCCACCCCTCCAGTGTATGGGGCACTGCGCTGCCTCTGACTACCCTATGGTCCCCATGGCTGGACCTCTGGCCATGTCCATGGGGAAAGATCACACTGCTTTGGAGTAATTGTTGATAAAGAACTTGGCTCTTGGGCAGACGCTTTCATTACTGGTGGGCTGAGCTGGGCAAACCTGGGAGGTTTCAGCATCTGAGAGTTTCAAAGCCAGCTCTGGGCCACCGTGGCAGGGCAAGAGCATCATTACTGCATTTCTGAGCTAATAATGGGTAGCTACTAGGTTGAGTGCTATATATGTGTACAAACATATATAAAGCTGGACCCAGCCATGAGGGGTTTATAATCCTGGGCTGTCTCAGCCCTCTCTATCACCTTGACCTGTGCCAGCCACAGTTGCTGAAGAAGGGGCAGCCAGGCACAGTCTGTGCAGGGAAGTGTTCCCTTAGTGGTCTCTGCCCATGCAAGGATTATGCTGCAGGACAAAGCACAGTCACTGCTTGGCCTCCTTTCCATACATGATGCTTTGTGTTACTGTCTAGGTTGATGCTTTTATGTCTATAAGCAACCAAATTAACATTTTCTTTGGGAGGAAGGGCAAGCGTGAACTTGGCTGCGATGCTGACAACCCCTAATGCTACTGGAATGTCCTGGTGTTACTTCCTTAAAAGTGATAGTTGATTTCTCTGGCTTTTAAAGAGATGGAAATGAAGGGAGCAATTTTGCTCTGAAAGAACTGCAAGACTTGCACTTACTCCTGTGGGTGGCTGTTGAGAAGTAGTCACATTTCTTTGTTGCCATGCCTGCAGACAGTGTCTGTCTGTCTCTGATCCAACAGTTTTGAATTATGGAATTAAGGAAAAAAAAAAATCACATTATTAGAATGCCTCATTTTTTTAACACTTGCAAAAGGCAGTTCCAGTTATGAAAGGTGATGGACCATTGGTTCTTGTCTGAAATGAGCAAATAAAAGATGTTTCGATGGGAAGGATTGGCTGTGTTGCAGGGAGGTGTACCATGAGTATGCCTCTTCAGGCATATGCTGTTATGTGTTGTTTCTTCTTCATATCCAAGTAGCCAACAGTGTCAAAGTCGTGTCTTGATAGCAGTTATTGTCTATTAACCTGCATTTCCTCCACCTGAACATTTTCCCTTATCATCTCCCTTTTGGAAGGAGCAGGGATGGGAGGCTTTCTCCTGCCCCTGACTCAGGTTACTGCCTGTGAGGTTCCTGGAGAAAGTGGTGACTAAAGTGACCTGGACAAGGTTATTTCTTTTGTGGGAATGAAGTCCATAATCCAACAATCCATCCCTTGCAGGAGGAGCTGTTGTCATGTTGCCACATGGGGATCATTGCATTGCATTAGAGCAACATCTCCATGGGGTCAAAGCGGCTCCCGGGGTAGGAAATGGGTGGTGAAGCTGGTTGTGGTTGTGGTTGAGGCTGTTGGAGGTTTCCAGTGGAGATCTCAAGGCTAAATGTGAAACCTTCCACCCCTCGTGAGCAAAACGGGGAAGGAGTTGGCAGGAGGAGGAGGAGGGGACCTTCCCCCTCAGAGTTCCTGGAAATAGTTATTTCCCCAGATGTTTTAATGATGTTTTGGGAGTTTTGATGACAACCATGACAGGAAAGGTCACATCCTGATATCTGGAGGGGGGAAGTTAATGCAGGCGCTGCCAGGCCTTAATGTAAAGGCCAGATGGGGTAAAGAAAAAGGACCGTATGTGGACTCCTCATCCCTGTGCACAAAGGAGACCGCGACCAGCGCTGAGGCATTGGACTGGCCCATATGGAAGAAACCTGAGCCACTCAGGAAGGGCCCCACCATCATCTTCAGCAGCACCTCCATTGCGCCCTGCCACCCCACCTTACCTCCCGCTGTTAGCCCAGTATGTGGGGGATGCTGTAACAAGTATTCCCTTTATTGACTCTCTGCACTACCCATTCTTCCCTCACCCCCTTTAACTTGTCTCCTCATCACATTTTATTCTTTCTTTTGTCCCCAGCAGTGCACCAGATCAAGCTGTGTTCCAAGTCAACACCATCCCCCAAAATCCCACATGGGTGACTGCCAAACCCAGGAAAGGGGATGGAAGGGGGACAGTCATGGGCCAAGTCTTGGGTGTAGAGCGCGATCAGCATAGAATCATAGACTAGTTTGGGTTCGAAGGGACCTTATGTTCATCTAGTTCCAACCCCCTTGCCATGGCCAAGCTGGTGACTGTCTCTTTCTTTCCCCCCTAGTTTGAGCAGTCGTCGCTGCAGGCAGTTCACCAGCAGAGACGGGAGCTGTTGAGCAACATCTGCAACCGCTACACCCGCAAGCGTCGTCTCCTGCGCCCGGATGACCTGCGGCACTTGGTGGTGGACGACACACACGGGCTCCTCTACTGCTACGTGCCCAAAGTGGCCTGCACGAACTGGAAGCGGGTGATGATGGTCCTGACGGGGCAAGGCAAGTACCGGGACCCGCTGGAAATCCCTGCCAACGAGGCGCATGTCTCGTCCAACCTGCGCACCCTCTCCGAGTACAGCGTCCCTGAGATCAACCACCGCCTGCGCAGCTACCTCAAGTTCCTCTTTGTGCGGGAGCCCTTCGAGCGCCTGGTCTCGGCGTATCGCAACAAGTTCACCCGCAGCTACAACACGGCCTTCCACAAGCGCTACGGCACCAAGATCATCCGGCGGCACCGGCAGGAGCCCAGCGACGCGGCGCTGGAGCGCGGCGATGACGTGCGCTTCGAGGAGTTCGTCTATTACCTGCTGGACCCACGGACGCAGCGGGAGGAGCCCTTCAATGAGCACTGGGAGCGGGTGCACTCGCTCTGCCACCCGTGCATCGTTCACTACGATGTGGTGGGCAAGTATGAGACCTTGGCCGAAGATGCCAACTACATCCTCCAGCTGGCTGGGGCCGACACGAGCATCAAGTTCCCGTCTTCATCCAAGACCACCAGGACGACGGATGACATGACGGCCCAGTTCTTCCAGGACATTAGCCCTTTCTACCAAAGGAGACTCTTTAATTTATACAAAATGGACTATTTGCTTTTCAACTACTCCATCCCCTCCTACCTCCGCATCCGATGAGGCAGGGACTGGGGGGAGAGGTGAGGGAGAGCTGGGTAACTCTCATCTTGCCACAGTTCCTCTCCTCCCACTCTGTGCTGATCTCTTGGTTGACTTCCTCCCTATGCCCTCTCCATTATGGTCTCCTGATCCTGATGGTCTCCACATCCTGATGCCGTGTTCATGCATGGATTGGAGGGAAGACATCTCTCAAAACACTGGGGCTGGAGCTTTTCCTTCCCTTTCCCTCCACCCTTCATCTCCAGGGGATGGTGGTGGGACCGGACATTGCTGGGTGGGAGGGCTTGCCTTGGATGGGGACTTTCTTTTAACTAAGAGACTCCTCTGTAGCTCCAAGTCTTGGGAAGGCTCCTTTTTTCGGGCAGGATCCCTTGAGGTCTTTCCCCTCCTCACTGAGCTGTTTGGGGTGGACATGGCATCTCGGGGAGGGGCAGGGTCGACTGTGTCAGAGACTTGCATAGCTCCTGAAATAAAGCAATAATTTAATGTAAGTTGTTCCTCTCATTTAAAATTGCTCCCATCTTTTCTTTTTGGCCTTATTCTCCTCTATCCCCCCCCAGCTTCCCACCAGGAAAGGTGGTGCTGTGTTACGGTGACCACACATTTCTCACCGACAAAGCCTGGAGGGCTTTTTTTGTTCCTTTCCTTCCACATGGGATGCAAAATGCTCCAAGCAGAGAGAGGAGCAGGTTTGCAGCAGGTATGTGCTGATAGAGACATGGTGCTGTCTCAGCAACAGCAGCAGGGCACTCATTGCCTCTGTGTGTGTATGAGTCTGGATTTCTGTTCAAATCCAGTAATCTTCCTGGTTTTTAAGAGCAGGTGATGAGTGTTTTGCAGAGCTGTATGTACAATACGTGTGCAGTGTGTCTGCTCAGTGAAATCATGTCACCCACAGTGTCCTCCCATGGCTATGCAGCTCATTGCCTGTCCCCATGTGTAGCCACGGCCTCCTGCATGGCGCTTGGTGACCACATTGCACTGGGGTTGGTGGAACAGGGGATATTAGGAAGTGAGGAGGCTCATGAAAGTGAGTTACAAAGTGCTTTGGGAAGCACTGTGCTGGGATGTGGGAGATTGCTGTGGTAATGGAAAGGTGATGCTGGAGTGGGAAGGCCAGAAGAGAGCGCATCTGTATGCATGCACACACGTGTGTCTTTGTATGAGAATACAAATGGGGACAGGGACACCTAGAGGAAAACACCCCTTTGCCAGGCCGGCTTTGGACAATCCATTCCTTGAGGAAGGAATGGGGAGGAGGGGAGAAACACAAAAGAAAATGACAAAACCAGCCTTAGGATCTTAAATTAAAAGCAGGCCAAGGAGCTCTGTTCTAACCCCGCGTTTCAGGCTTTCTGCTTTGCCGCTTGGCTTCGGCTCAGTGGCTGCCTCTGTAAATAAACACGCTGGTAATAGATGCTGCGGAGTGTGTCTGCTGGCTGGGCTGTGAATACTTGACTTATTAGAGCAATACAATGGGAGGGTTTATAAAGCCCCAGTGCTCTCAGGCTCTTCTAAAACCCAATGTTTTCAGCTAATGACTTTTGGCTGTTGTATCGTACCCTGTTTCCTCCATGTCTCCAATTGGCATCTATGTACCGACACTCCCTCCTTGGTCGCTCCATTAGGAGAGTGGGTTTAGCAAAGCAATGGAAAAGTAAATAAAATTGCTGGTGCTCAGTTGGACTTGGATTTTCCCAATCTGGAGTGGAGAACTCATGGAAATGGCCTTTCTTGTGCTGTCTTCATATCTCCCCATCTAGCTGGAACTCAAAGCACAGATTATGTGATGCAACAGATTTCATCTCCAGCGCTCGGGCTTGGTGTGTTCCTCTTGCTTTCTCAGGAGTCTCCCATTCCCCCTTAGCACTGCTTGGAAAAATCATTGTTCAAGTCACCACAAGCTCTTTTCATCGCTTTTGGACATGAATCATCCATCATTCCGGGTCAGATTCAGAGTCACAAAGAGCTGGAGTTTTGGATTCTTTTCCTTTTTCCTAAGTACTGTTCCCTGCTCTTAAAAGCTGGTGGCTCAGTGAGGGGCAAGGACAGATGGATGCTCTCCCCTTTGGGCTGTCTGTGGCTCTTCAGGCAGTATCTGGCTGGCTAGGAGCCCATTTGGGCTCTTTAGCCTGGAAGGGAAGGAAGGGAATGCTCTGGGCTTTGTCTTTGAGGCAGCTGGTTTCTAACCTTGCTGCACTGGGTGGTGATTTGAAGAAGGTCCCAGTTATGAAGTGCTGTTTGATTGCCTGTCTCCCAGCATCCCCACCAGACCTGACTCATTGCCCCGGACAGCAGCAAAACCACATGTATGGAGTGAATGCAGCCCTCCAGCCTCAGCCGTGGAGTGCTGAGGGCAATGCCCTGCTGAGATTTGATCTGTAACAGGCATTTTGGGTCATGTAGGACCTTCAGAAATACCCACCTCTAGGCTTTTCTAAAACACCCCCAGCCACCAGCCACAATCCAACCCATTTAGGTCACACCCTTGGCTTTCCCCCTGACTAAACACTGCTTTCCAATGCAAAACCTGCCCATGCAAACAGAAAATGCTCGCTTTGTGAAGCAATCACCTTCAGTCCGGGTCTGAAAACGCTTCCCCCCGCCGGAGACCAGCACCAAGCACCTAAAAACGCTGCAGGGCTGGAGCAAAACGGAGTTAGGAGGACACCGTGTGACTGCTGACCCCAACTGCAAGCATTTTCATTTCCTGTCCCACTTCGGCTGCAGGGAACCGTTTCTCTGAGGGCCTCCTAAGTTGTTTGTGGCTTTTTCAGCTGTTTCACTGCATCCCTTTTCTTTGCTGGAGGAGGAATCATCAAGGTAACCTAGGCAGCCTCTGGAGTGTAATTGGCATTGGTTTTCTGCTCTATTTGGGGCTGGGAATGTGACAGTGCCTGATGTGCAGCAAGAACATGGAACACAAGGAGCAGGACATCACCCCCTTGGCCCTGCACAGCATCCCACTGGGAGCAGGGAGTTTCCAGGAGGAATGCTGTGGTCCAGGGATGAAGGGTATAAATGCACCTCCAGGATCACAGAATCATGATGCTGGGTTGGAAGGGACCTTAAAGCTCACCCAGTTCCAACCAGTGTTTAAGACCAGGTTGGACACAGGGGCTTGAAGCAAGCTGCTTTAGTGGAAGGTGTCCCTGCCCATGGCAGGGGTTGGAACGGGATGAGCTTTAAGGTCCCTTCCAACACAAACCTTCCATGATTCTCTGATTCTATGTCCATATGTGCACATACATATAATGTAAATAACAATTCTAATATATAATAGAATGATTGCAAATAATTGAAATGTTTATAGGTGAGAATACATTATATTTAATATGTGTATAGTATGTATTACAAGAATAATTATATATTGGGTAATTATATATTTGCTTAGGATTTATAATATTTACTAGCCATTTTGTTTATGTATGTGTACATATGCCTGTGTGTACAACATCATATTTACTACATATCCCCCCAACATAAAAGAGCAAGGACCTTCCCCACCTTGCCTGTTCCATCCTGCTATGGAGCTGTTGGAAGCTGTTGAGTTTCTCCTTCCAATGGAACCAAACTGAGCTTCAGCAATAGGGAGCTTTCCTTCCAGCACTTGCTGTGCACTGCAGATTGGGTTGTTTACCAGCTGGAGGATTAAATAGACTTCCATTGAAGGGAAAAAAGTATGTAAGTGCTTTCAAGTATGTCTTGGAAGCGGTGTCTCGCTTGGAGGAGGCTTTTCAGGCTTGCTTGTGTTTGCTGGCTGGCATTTCACTTGTCCTTGGGAAGGATGCTGCATCTCACACAGAGTGGTTTCTGGAAAAATACTGCATTAGGATGGAGGCAGTGAGTGGAAGCTGATGGGGAGAAAGAGGAATGCTTTGAGTAGCCCTGAAAACAGCTACTCTGGTAGCTGCTCCCATCTCTCTCTATGGCTACTGACAGCTCCTTCTTTGCAAAGAGAAACCCTTCTGTACCCAGGAACAGGGAGCCCCTCTATCCCCGATGCACCCAAACACACCAGCCCGAAAGGGATGCAAGGCAGGCACCCATTTCCCCCCCCCCCCCCCCCCCCCAAACTCCAATGCCCTTCCTCAGTCCCATCCGCTGACATGAACCTGAGATTTAGTTCATTGGAGGACAAGTAGTGGTTGATCTCAGGAGTGAGCCTAAACTGCTCTGCTGATCCAGTGGGAAGCCAAAACAAGGGAGGGAGGGAGATAGATATAGATAAATAGATATATAGATATATAGACAGATACATAGATACAAATACATCTCCATTGTTTCCCTGCCTCCTCCTGCAGCCTGAATGAGCTGCACAAAGCACTTTTCTTTCTATTTCTGCTCTGTACAAAACCAGCCAGTCTCATTCTGCTGCTCACACTCCACATCTACCTTTATTCCCCCTAGAGATTAAAACAAGGTAAACCTTTGACTGGGATCCCATAGCCTTTGATGGGTTTCTCAGCCCAGGGCAAGTGCTGAGCCCACACAGGAAGGGCAGCAGCCGGGGACTGAAGAGCAGCAAGAAAAGGAGCTTTCTCCCATCTCTTCCTTTTTAAGGATGTTGCCTATTTGGGAGCTGTGAGGATTAAACACAAAGCCCTGTCAGCTCAAAGGGGGGTGCTGGTGATGGTAGTGGGGTGGCAACAGCCCAGTGAGGAGCTGGGCACAGCAGTGACACAGACACAGCAGCACAGGAGCAATACCCACCACCTACAGTGGCTTCCTTGCTGTGTTAGGTGAAAGACAGAAATCACTGCGAAACATCCATACCCAGCCTGGGCTCTGCTGCCCTGTGAGTTTTGTAAAGGAAAAGGCAGGAAAGCACTCCAATACAACACCACAGGGCACAATAAAACCAGGTAGGGACTCCTGTGGTGTTCTGAACCACAGAATGGCTTGGGTTCGAAAAGACCTTAAAGATCATCTAATTCCAACCCCCAGCTGAGGATCCTGCAGGCATTTAAGCATCAAATCTCTGCTTTTCAGAGGAAGGAAAGGGGATGATGCCTGGACAATGCAGTGGCTTCTTGCCTGGCTGTGCTTGGTATCAGGGGCAGGAGCAGTGCTTACAATCACTGGGAGGGATGGGGGTGCTTCCTCAGAGGAGCAGGTCCCGATGGAGTTACAGGAATGCTGATCCCAGCATGCTCCAGGGTTATGTATAACCTTTGTTAGCAAACACTCTTTCTCATTTGCACGGGGAAAGGAAGGAGGAAAGAGTCAACAGGCTGAACAGCCAAATAATTACCCTTTCACTGCCCTTAGAAACAGCAAAGGGATAAAATTCCCTTTTTATTGAAACCATTTCCTTTGCTTACATCTTTTCTTTGGAGGCTGGAAGCAATTTTCAGTCTTAAGCGTGCTCCCTGCACTAAGTGCCTGAGGCCGATGCTTGGCTGCTCACCAAGGGGTACCCGGGAGAACAGCACATCTTGCCAGGCCCTTGGTGATCTCCCCACATCAGCTCGTAGCCCCAACACCTCCT